TAAAATGAGTTTGGAAAGGTGTCCGAAAGCTGAAAATCTCAAAAATAATTTTGATAATCAGGGTGACCGTACTTGTACCGATCTCAAGCTGTTACCTCTTAGACTTGTGTTCGTTTCTAATTTCAGAAGGGGACGTCTAGTTTTCGTGCTTTACCGATTTTGTTATGTTAAGCTGAGGTCTCCAAGTAGCCGCCGGTAAAGTCCACTGAACACTTCAAGTTTCTTCAGTCCTTTCTGGTGTCCAAACGTTTGAAATGTTCGTTACTATGTCTTGTGGTATCTCGAGATCCGCCAGCTTCAAGGAACTTTGCCAAGCTCGCGGTTTCGTCCTGTTGGGACTCATCAGTTGGAGATAGCCTGAGTTGGGCTGGAACTCAGAGCCTAGTGGCTCATGGTTGACGCCATAAGCACTATGCCACTGAGATCCACGAGCAACGCTTGGTCCAGCAGAAAAGATTGCAAAGTTGAATTTGGAGAATCCGCTGGTGGCTGGGTTGCTACAAGCAACCTCAATTGAGACCTCGGTTCACTTGATGTGGACCTCGGCCATCCCGATCAAAAAGACCGTAAGTAAAATGAAAATTATAGTGTTGCTCGTCCCAACACCGGCACCCCAAGACCGCGGTTTCGTCCTGTTGGGACTCATCAGTTGGAGATAGCCTGAGTTGGGCTGGAACTCAGAGCCTAGTGGCTCATGGTTGACGCCATAAGCACTATGCCACTGAGATCCACGAGCAACGCTTGGTCCAGCAGAAAAGATTGCAAAGTTGAATTTGGAGAATCCGCTGGTGGCTGGGTTGCTACAAGCAACCTCAATTGAGACCTCGGTTCACTTGATGTGGACCTCGGCCATTCCGATCAAAAAGACCGTAAGTAAAATGAAAATTATAGTGTTGCTCGTCCCAACACCGGCACCCCAAGACCGCGGTTTCGTCCTGTTGGGACTCATCAGTTGGAGATAGCCTGAGTTGGGCTGGAACTCAGAGCCTAGTGGCTCATGGTTGACGCCATAAGCACTATGCCACTGAGATCCACGAGCAACTTTGCAATCTTTTCTGCTGGACCAAGCGTTGCTCGTGGATCTCAGTGGCATAGTGCTTATGGCGTCAACCATGAGCCACTAGGCTCTGAGTTCCAGCCCAACTCAGGCTATCTCCAACTGATGAGTCCCAACAGGACGAAACCGCGGTCTTGGGGTGCCGGTGTTGGGACGAGCAACACTATAATTTTCATTTTACTTACGGTCTTTTTGATCGGGATGGCCGAGGTCCACATCAAGTGAACCGAGGTCTCAATTGAGGTTGCTTGTAGCAACCCAGCCACCAGCGGATTCTCCAAATTCAACTTTGCAATCTTTTCTGCTGGACCAAGCGTTGCTCGTGGATCTCAGTGGCATAGTGCTTATGGCGTCAACCATGAGCCACTAGGCTCTGAGTTCCAGCCCAACTCAGGCTATCTCCAACTGATGAGTCCCAACAGGACGAAACCGCGGTCTTGGGGTGCCGGTGTTGGGACGAGCAACACTATAATTTTCATTTTACTTACGGTCTTTTTGATCGGGATGGCCGAGGTCCACATCAAGTGAACCGAGGTCTCAATTGAGGTTGCTTGTAGCAACCCAGCCACCAGCGGATTCTCCAAATTCAACTTTGCAATCTTTTCTGCTGGACCAAGCGTTGCTCGTGGATCTCAGTGGCATAGTGCTTATGGCGTCAACCATGAGCCACTAGGCTCTGAGTTCCAGCCCAACTCAGGCTATCTCCAACTGATGAGTCCCAACAGGACGAAACCGCGGTCTTGGGGTGCCGGTGTTGGGACGAGCAACACTATAATTTTCATTTTACTTACGGTCTTTTTGATCGGAATGGCCGAGGTCCACATCAAGTGAACCGAGGTCTCAATTGAGGTTGCTTGTAGCAACCCAGCCACCAGCGGATTCTCCAAATTCAACTTTGCAATCTTTTCTGCTGGACCAAGCGTTGCTCGTGGATCTCAGTGGCATAGTGCTTATGGCGTCAACCATGAGCCACTAGGCTCTGAGTTCCAGCCCAACTCAGGCTATCTCCAACTGATGAGTCCCAACAGGACGAAACCGCGGTCTTGGGGTGCCGGTGTTGGGACGAGCAACACTATAATTTTCATTTTACTTACGGTCTTTTTGATCGGGATGGCCGAGGTCCACATCAAGTGAACCGAGGTCTCAATTGAGGTTGCTTGTAGCAACCCAGCCACCAGCGGATTCTCCAAATTCAACTTTGCCAAGCCATTATAACGTATCCGACTTGGGGACGAATGTTGGCATTGAGTATCAAGGAGAAGTTGAATGAATTTAGTGGTGGTTCGGTGTCACTCCTCCCAACTTTGTAACCCCATAACCGGTTTCGTGCTCCTTTGGACTAATCAGATGAAGATAGTCTGAGCTGGAGTGTACCTCGAGGCCTAGTGTTCAAAGGTTGACGCCTTGACCACTATGGTTCCAAGATCATGAGCAACGCTTGGCATGGCGGTAAGGAATTCCACGTGGCATTTGGTGTACCCGCTGGACAGTTGGATTGAGACTCGCAATTTCTATGCAGACCTCGGTGCTCTTTAAAGTAGACCTCAGTAATTACGATCATAAGGACCATATCCGAATAGGTGGTTCGGTATTGCTCCTCCCAACACTGACCCCCTATAACTGGTTTCGTCTTCACTTGGACTCACTACATGGAGATAGCCTGGGCTGGAGTAGACCTCAAGGCCTTGTGTTCAAAGGTTGACGCCTTGAGCACTATTGCTTTAAGATCCGTGAGCAACGCTTGGCACAGCGGTAAAGAATTCCAAGTGGCATTTGGTGAATCTAAGCTGCCGGCTGCTCTTTGCAGGAGACCAGGATACAGCTTTCAGCCAAGTAAAGCGGACTCAGATAAGCTTAAACAAATGGGGTCGTCTTGTACGAGCCTACTGAAGCTGCGTTTCTGAGAGGTGTTCTTCACTTGGTCCGCTTCAAGCCTGTAGGTCTAGGAGTGTCAGCTGCGGATGTAAACAGCTAGACACATTTTCACATTGAGTTTCGGCGCGTTCCTCACTGACTAGTTATGGACCTCATCGAGCTTGCACTGGAGCATCTCGTGATATTTCAATCCATGGACGGCCTGTGAACCCTTAACGTGATCCGCGAAGATTAACACCTTACAGGTGACGACTCTTGATGTATCATCAATGAAATCTCGGAACAGGCGAGGTCCACTTGACGCGAATCGAGTCCGGTCAAATATGTTCGGACTCTAACCCCAACCGCCGTTTGCGCAGTTATTGCTTCATCTCAGTAACAGAGTTCCAATGCCATACTCTCATACTGGTACGGTGAACCAAGCGATCGAACGTCTTTGAGAATTCCGAGAAGTTGACATCGGTCCTCCTCCCATTGCCAATTGATTCAGTCTAGGTGTGCCGTGGAGATAAACACTTTAGCGATGAACCAGCAATGTTGATGAAAATCATGATATTGTACCTTACCAGGTTGTCCATTAACGCGTTTCCAATGATCGTTTCTGTGACTTTGGAAACAACAAGAAGAAGTGTATCTTTCTGGTAACAGATAGGCGCAGCTCAACTTGCTCCCTTTTGAGTACGAGTGCTGATGTCAACTTTCCGCTCTGACTGAACTATGTACACGTTTAACCAATGCTTAAATCATTATACCATCACTGAATAATGTCTGCTCCAGCAGAGCTGTTTGCGTGCAGGAATAGCAGCAACATTAGTATCGTTTCTGCAATGGAAAAGATGCTAAAACAGCCTGATAAAGGAATAACCGAAACAATAATAGGAACAGCGTCCGTGTGCGACATTCACTGAAGGGCACATGTGCGCTAAACAATTAAAGTGTTGGCAGCCTCTTTCATGGCAGGTGTACACTCATCAAGGCCAGTGAGAATCGAGATTGCGCCATGCGCTTGCAAAGGCTATCGATATGTTCGCAAAGAACATTGTTAACCGAAAAGAAACATTTCGCCAGCTTCTGTTAGTGCATAAACTTGTCTTGGCTAACCAAACACACACTATTTGTGTTGAGCTACGTACACCGACCAAATTTCCAAGGTACATAGTTTCTCATTCTGCTTCCCATAAAGAACTTAGGCTGTAAAGGATAATGGAAATCTTTCGGCACCGATCTTTTCACGAATAATGACGTGAAGGTTTTTAAGAATACTTCCCATGAAGCAGCTGCTTCATCAGCTACGGTCCTAGTGATCGAATGGCCAAGATTCACTTCAATGGGAATCGCGGTCCACTTTGAGATTGCGCGTCGCAATCCATCCACACAACGTGCACTTCAAATTGCCTTTCCAATACTTCCCATGCTTTGCTGGGGTGAACTCAATCAGGAATAGCAAACTGAGGTCTTTTACGAGTGCAGATAGTACGTCATAGTGTATAATAGATTGCATTCTGCTCTGAAATAATCACTATAACAAATGTACTCGAACAGAAGAGGCACGTGATCTCCTCGACACAACGGACCGCACGCATCTTGATAATAAACCATGTGCTTCTCACAGGTGAGCATCAGGCCTAACATCGATGGCTCATTCACTGTTCTGATCCTGGTGGCATCGTTGACGTGAATTTACAAGTGTGTTAGAAAACAGCGAAAATAGACCGCCGTTCTGCATCTAATGGTGCCAATGCAAGGACGTGGTTCGCTTTTGGCAGTCGTATGCTGTGACTCACATTGACATCAGTTACTATTTCTGAAACACATATCTGCAACTGCTTATCTGGTGGGACGTTCTGTTAACCTTCACCCACCTGCTAGTGACTGCCCATCCACTGAGCATACAAATTTGAAATTTGCCTTTTCATCTTTCCTTCTCTTTCCAACCGAATATGCTTGCTTTTATTATGTAACTGCATTGCGGTTACTGTGCTGCACGTTTGAATTGTTTGCTAAATTAAGCCATTGCAGTCTGGCGTGGTTGCAGAATTTGCACGTCTTCGTTCTGGTTCAATTGTAGGAGGAAGCAACTTGCCCCCCGACATTTCCTGCTGACCGATCCAAACTCTTGAAAGTATTTCTAACTAGGGAAGAACAAAGGTTATCCCTGCTTTCTAACTTACTGTCGGTAAGTTACAACAATTTATTTCTTCGCCTTAATGATACAAGATTTGGAAGAACAAATGTTCCGTACAATACTGGTATCTAACCATAGCACCATAGACTTCACTGGCCCTAAGCAACAGAGTCCATAGAGATTTGTTTCCTATCAGTTTTCACAGTCTGTGTCAAACATTCGTATGGCTTCGCTGACGCAGCCTAGTTTGGATTTTGAACCACCTCACTTGTCTAACGTTTGATAGCAGTGATTATCGAAGCCCATGCTAGTCATTCAAACATGCACTAGGTTTATCCATAAAAACCAGACCATGAAAGCCTCAAGCGCAAACTTTAGTCTTAGCCTTTAGTACACAAAATGAAATGCCCTTCTTTATTCGGTTTCATGAATAACTTGATGAACTCTTGAAATATACTTGAAAACAATGGGAAACTCATGATTTTAGACGGATTTGAAAAGAACCGGTTAGTATAATCTGTGGGCAACTGTTTGCTGTTGATATGGAAGCTTTGTCAAAGTGAGTGAGCAAGGGGATTATTTGTGCGGCACCTGTAGCGAACTGGAAAGTTAATCGTGACGGTTTGGAGGTGGGAACAAAGGTAATCCGATTGCAACACAGCATATCTCTCCAAGTAGTGGAATGGTCCCAAATGATTAACCGTACCAGCTCATTACACGTAAGTGACTGTCAGTGACTAGACAGAGACAAATTTATGTTCATTCTCTGTTTCGGATCTGGCCGCCAGTGCTACTCAGGACGGTGTGGCAATAACAACCCGCCACAGATTCTAAATCTCCACCCCATAACTTCTATTTATGTAGCTGTTGAACCGTATCGGCATTTAACATTTAGGGGCTGATTGCAATACCCTCCTAACGATGGGTAGTTCTTAGAGTGCCCGCCGTGTGTTTGGATTGCTACACGCATTCTCACTTACTTTGAAGCCAAACTCTGCCGTTTCGATCATTGTGGTTACATCCAACTTGAAGGTTTTCGGATCTGCTCTCTCCCAACATTGCCCACTACGATTGCTTTTGTCCTGCTTTAAAATCTACACTTAAGGACAAAATCGGTCCCAGCGTATAGTGCTGGGAGAGCGAAGCTCCGGAACTCGCTCCTCTTAACGATCTTGATAAGCTATAAATAGATTTCATGACATGTTGCTAGCGAGTGCATCGCTACCGCACTGTAGTAGCACTGTTCTGCAACCTCTTTACGTGGAGGTCGTGGTATGTACGTCTCCTGTTCAACTATCCTCGTGCGCGCCGCTCTTACTGTGTTGTTTATGCACATATGCTCGCAGGCGCGATGTGCGCAATTGGCTGTCCTGTTTGTGGGAAGCAAGTCCCTTGAATATAACCGTGTCGAACAGAGCGTATGATACATGCGGAAAACGATCTGTAAAATTTCCTTGTTTAGTCCATTCACTATCCATCAATCGGTTCATGACTTCCTCACCAGTGGTCTTCCTAGCCTCTTCCTCTGTGAATAGGGTAGGGGCTCTGTGAAACAAAGATAAGATAATCCCAGCATACACATGTCTTGGGTGACCTGAACCATAGTGTTATACCCCCACTGTATCGGGTGAAAAGCTGTGAGATTGTTTGGATCAAAACACATCCTACATGCGAACTTTGTTCGGCTGAGGACTTGGACTTACTTCTCAACCCGTCTGTCCGCAACACAAAGCTCCCCTGCCAAGTTTACTCATTGACATATGCAACCTGGACGATGTAGACATTCTTCAGTCTATACAATAGCATTACTGGCCTGTAAGCAGCTAGGTAGAAGTGTCTTAGTAAAGTAGAAATGGTGTTCCTGCCTAGAAGATAGCGAGAAAATCATCTCCAGAACTAACGAGTAGGAGGAAATTTTGACAAAATTTTGTTCTTCTAGAGTATTCATCGCAGTGGTTCGCAAGCTACTTAGCACAACCTAGTTCGGAAAATTACCAGACGCGTTTCGCCCTATTGGGGCTGGTCACTGGTACTATATCCCAGTTAGCTTACAAATTATGTGGTCCAGCCAACGTCCCCCATGGCTCAGTGGCTTAGGCTGTTGGCTACTTGGCATCTGCCTCTAGCTGTCATAGATCCAATCCCTAGTAAAAGACCGAGAGAATACGCACCACTGACGAGCCCCGATAGGGCGAAACTCGTCTGGTGGTTTTCCGGACTAGACTGTGCTATGTGACTTGTGAACTACTGGGATGAATATCTTAAAAATTACAACTAAAATCCTGCTAGTCAACATTAACATTAAAGTTTGCTCTATTTATTACAGTAGTCTCCAAGCCTTCGAATTTGGGATATTGTGCGACAAAATCCCCCAAGGTCTAAAGTGGTAGCAGTAATTTCACACCTTCGCATACGTTCGAACACAGGAATACTATGATTCAACAGCTTTCACTTGACGATGGACAAACTTTGTTATTGATCAGTACTTGTACGTGTGGAGTAAGGGTGATCAGTGGGGATATTTGATCTTGCGAATTAAGTCTTATTATTGGAAACACTCCGGTAACGTACACGGTGTTTCAAGTTGAGCCACGTCTTGTTACCGCTTGCAGCTACTTTACGCCACCCAAAGCCGTCACCCATGACAGGATGGCTTATTAAACCTAGCTGAATGTGATAACCTCAAACTAAACGGAACTTGAAGACACATGTCTCTTCTGCCGAACATCAGTGGGGAGTAATATTGTCTAGTCTTTACGGCTGCATAGGGATTAAATGATAGATCCCCGTTTCAGACGAGCTTCCTTGGAATAGTCCAAACCCAGAATCCACCCTGAATTTCGTTCGTTTGTTTTTTCAAATGGAGTGATTTTGGCTCATCTTCGGGAAACAAAGGCGCTGTGTTCATAAGCTGCACAGATAAAAACGTGAGCGGCAAACTGACTCCACCAGTACATTTTTAACTAAGTGGTTTACAAACTTAACTTGACGAGCCTGCATGCGAGCACCCCAACAAGTCAGTCAGGGCAGGTTGCTTTTATCCACAAACCACGCTTGTATCGAAGGAATATGGCAACATGTTAAGGGACAATCTTTGCCATAGAACATGAGCGCAGGAAAACCATACGTGACCAGGAATGTCAAACGATCACTGCGTTATCATTCCAAAGCTTATGGAATAACAGGTCTGCAAAGCAAGGAGTGTAGATAACCCTTCACAATTAGTACTTCCCGTGAAGAAGGCGGATATTCCTAGTGATCTCTTTAGTCAAACCAGCCGAAAATGTCAGTTGGAAAACACTGCTTGCTATCCTATGCTATACATAACGGTGTGTGTATTAGCTGTAAGAACGTGTACCTCCAATGGGGTATGTATCGCAGTTAACTGATGGAAGATCTTTGTACAGCGTCAGCATACAGTTACCATCGTGTGACGAGTCACTTCAGGTAGAAATCAACTGTGTTCATGGCAGAAAAGGCAGGTGAACGGACAGAACCCGAAGCCAGTTGATGGAATACAACCCCACTTTTGTCAAAAACGTCTATGACTTAACAAAACCTTAATGGGTTGTAGGGGCAGTTCGCAATTACTTCAGTCTAAAGTAAACGGGAATCGGAGCTGTTTCGAACACGGAAGGGGTGAACAAGTCCGAACCGAAGGAGATGAAAAACAAGCGTGAGCTGTGCTGACTGAAGGAGTTAATGAATACAACAGAAGCAGCACAGCGTAGCTAACTTGTACAGTGTTACTTGACGCCGTTTTACTGAATAGTAGTTTCGGGAGATGCTCAGTGTGTGTTCTGACTTTCGGAAGAGCATAAAAGGTGATGGCAGGAAGGCGAAATATAACAACGGATTGAAGCTTCTGGTGCAAGCAAGTGGTCCAACCGCCATATCCGCCGCAGACGGCGGAGGACTCTCTACCAAATAATCTGAGAATTATGCGGACGGAATTAGGCATCCAGTCAATGGTTAACTTAGAGCAAACTATTGAAGATGAGCGCCTTCTGAAAGCAGCGAATTACCGTGTCGGTGATCGGCACCAAACTTGTGTGCAGTTGTGTGGTAGGGTGATTTATTGTGTTTTGGAGCAGATTGGTCGCAGCTAATTTCAGCGAGACCGTCACTAGCCACTAAGAAAAGCTTCACCCATGTCACAGTGGCATAAATGCACAACTCTCGAGAGTAAGTTCATGAGTTCAGACCCGGCAGGTTCCGGCTGATTTATGTTATCGACGAGTCTCCACAGGATAAAAATGTCGTCTGGGGCTTTCCTTAATTGTGTAGAAGGATCCGCATTTTGAATAGAATTTGTGAAGGCTAGTCAAGGGAGAGCTATGCACGATTTGTTTGGTGGACAGATTTAGCTACTCTGGAAATCATTCGAAGGATACCTCAACAGCGTAAAGCAAACGCATAAGAAACAGTAGCTGTTGTAACCAAGTGTAAGGCATCTGAGATGATACTGTACGATGCTGGACATAAGCGAATAACAGTTGCATGCTTTGTGCACCTTATATAACACCTTATATAACCCTACTTAATTGCATGAATTTTCTACTTGTATACGCGAGCGGAAGTTATGCATAATTACTTTAAACACTTTTTCCAAAGGAATTTGCTAGCATGAAAAATGTGCGAAGTACCTCGGTCACAAACGAAGTTCGCAACATACTTCAGAATCTCTATTACATCCAAAAAGCATTTGTGAAGGAACTGTATGTGAACCAGGAGATAATGGCTGATCCAAATGCAGAAATCTGTTCGGTTTTCCATTGCGTGGTAAGTGTTGTATCAGCAATGTAACTCGCTAAAACTACCCAGATATCATGCCAAACCGCACTGGAGCGCGCCAACAAATGTATTATCTACTAGTGCCACCATCGTACTACGTGTTCAGCGCATGAGCGTACGATTATTATCTATTTTCTCAAAGAAGAAGGACTGTCGGCATGCGTTTTGGGTAAACATCGTTAGTAATTCCTCTATTCGGCGTGCCGTAAGGCGAATGACGTTCATTTATGCTTCGCTGATTTGTCACCATTAGACTTCCCAAGCAATCCCCAAAGGATTAAGAGATTGTTGGACGGTCATTTATTCACATGAGATGTGCCCATTCTGTGCACCCTGTGTAAAAATATATGCCAAGGATGAACTATTGCTCCGTGGATTATAGTGAGGAATCAAACCCAGTAAACGTCAGGGCTGTCCATCAATATTCCTGTTCCCTAATAAGTGGCTAATCAAGTCTTTTGCAATGAAGCTCATTCTGATTTAGTTCAAAAAATATTTCTATTCTGCTAAAAATCAGCAGCTGAGAAAGTTACTGTGAAAGGTTTTATCAGGTCTGGCATTTTAACAAGAAAACATCGTAGTACTGTAGCCAATCTAATCAGGTCGATATCCGTTGTCCATAGTGACGCAGAAGCTGAGCTCGCTGTTCTGCGAATCAGTTGGCAGCAAGTTCAATTTCCACAAAGCTCAGTGCATGTGCAAGTTCCTAATAAGGACAAAAACGATCAACCAGGACCTTAATGGACAGGCTGAGTCGATAAATGAATGCGGTCAATTATAATGAAATAACTTAAATTTTTGAGCAGTCACCTGTTGAGAAATATGATGTTGGCACATTAAATGAATGCGAGTTCCTTGCATAGCACAAGCTTGGATTTATTCAAACACTTCACTGACTACATGGAGCTCACTATTAAACTTTCTAAAGAATGAATTTCTGTCAGTAGTAAATTAATATTCGCTAAACATAACAGCAGTACTCTCACCAAACCCATGAAAGAATGGAAAATTAACAACCGTCAACCAACCGGTAACTGAGATTAACTGCATGAATTGTTTTGCAAAAGAGCCATTAGGACTGAAACATGGACAGTGGAAAGCCAGTAGCAAGAGAAAATACACTGAACATTGAAACGCAATTTGGAAGCTGATCACTTTCACCCAAGAATCCGTCGGTGTCCTCTACCAGAAGAACGTACATGGGGCTTAGTGCAATTGTAGAGCAAAATGTGGATGGAAGCGGACTACGATACAGGCAAAGAACAATGAAATTATTTAGAGTACCTGTAGCTCGTGGTGTGGATGAGAGGATTGTCCTGTTCTCCGAGCCGGGTATTTCGGTTGCAGACGTTTGGTTGCCAAACTAGGCAACATCTTCAGTGCGGCTATTCAGTCCTGATTCGCGATCTCGCAAGCCAATGTCAGAACAATGAAACTGAATATCGACTCACTAAGGGTGATAAGGCTTGTGGAGGATGGCGAACGATTCATGAAGCAGCAAAAGGATGGTAGATACGTATATTGGCTTTTTCAGAGAACAAGTGAGCATTGGTTAATTAGGTCAAGCATTTTCCCTACGTACTCGAAAAAGGGAGGATTCTAGTTGGTGTAATTCCCACGGCTAAGTGCGTTTTCTGACTACTTTCTAAATGTGGTCGACGTGGTTCCAGAAACAAAGGGTGTGCAGCTCGGTTTCAACAAGTGACATCCACGAACCGCAAATACATGTATAAGGTGTTCCCGACGAATTTAGTAAACTGCTGATTTCCGGTAATGGCTCTTCTTGTAGCTTCTAAGCTCAGACAAAGAGTGCGATGGCCTAAAACCAGGATGGCCTTTGTTAGACTACCTTCTGAGCTATGTATTGTCCGCTGGTCCGCTGTTCAATCTCTACAGGTCAGCAAAAGCCACACTCTTTGACATAGTTGGTAGCGTGACGACGGGAAACTCATACAGCTGTCAAGTGAGGCTTTTGAATTAACTACTAGGCTTGATTTGTATATTCTAGAAGAAAGTGAACATAACCTGTAAGCATCTGACGGAAAACGGAATAGTCCGTGTCTCCATTTAAAGCACCAAACATACTGGTTATCAGAAGTTGATAGTTTTCGTATTGTTGGTAATAACCCATACAAGTACATAAATGACATGCTGGGCAGTGGGTCTTTGCAGTAAGCAGGCTCCGAGCAGATGGGAATGTGCGCTCTGACAATGTTTAGGAAGTATTTAACTCAGCTTGGTGAGCAATGACCTACTACTTAGCTTTCTACACTTAAATTATGATTGCCCACTTTGTTGTTAAAAGTGTGGAATTTCGCATTAGAAGTGTTTAATCATTCTACTTTTTGAAGGTTCAACGCCAGGCACTTTTAAGTAGTTATCAGAAAACCGTAGCGGCTATGATGAACAAAAGTGGCCCTGCTAAACCGCTCAACAGTTCAGAATCGGAGAAAGTTAGTTCACCATTTTGTTTTTATTTCCACCATACTTTCTACGGAATTTGTTGGTGACTTTGTGGATGCTTCTATTAGGTTTATGTTCGTTAAGCGACACAACAGGTATTACAATTGAGTTGTCAATGTTTTATTGTTTCTGAAGTAAAAAATAGCACAAAGTAGATGTAAAAGAGGAGGATCGTTTGATGGGTGGAATGCTTATATAGTTCAACCTGCCAAAGCGGCCACCTGACTAAAGTGACCACCTGTCTGTGGCGACCAGCCTTAACATCCCTAAAATTTTCTTTTATGTGTAATGTCCCTATGCATGAACTTATACGTGGCGACCACGTTTTCTCGGTTCCTTGATTATTATCCTTAGACAGATTTGACTGTACCCTACCATGCGGAATGCTTGACCCGAAATTACAATGTTCTACTTTGGTAGAAGCACCATGTGCACTTCACCAATTAATGCTCGTCCGACTTTTATTCTGGTACCCACATATATTTTATATGTTATATGATGATCACTTAACGCTATTCTAAAGGCTAAAAACTATAAGCAAAGAAATTGTTGAGTTTATACAGTGGTGTCCCGGTGAGTGTGTCAGGTAATTCCTTGTAGGCACGATTTCTGCCAGAGCGAATTGTACTAGGAAAGTGCTAGGGTACATACGAAGGTAACTTCTGCAAATCCGTTATACGGCAATACTTAGGAGTCTCCTGTGTAATCCCTGTTGAATGACGTATTAGCGGACGTGCTTAAAGTTTAAGATGCTGAGAGAATGGAGCACTTTTACCCTTTAGTTGATATCTCGTCACTGAGGCAATGTTTAGATGTACTGCAAAGTTCTCGCGGCACGAAGCGCTACTATATGCATCAATGGTGAAATTGTGGGGGTTCCTTGCATTTTAAGCTATTCATCCTAGTAGCTCACATGCTACATGGCAAGCCCAGTCCGAAAAAGCACCAGACACGTTTCGCCCTATTAGGGCTTGTCGGTGGTGCGTATTCCCTCCGTCCCCTAATGGGGATGGAGCCAATGACAGCTAGGCGCAGATGCCAACTGTGTCAGGAGAAGTATGAAGTGGCTCCAACCACTGATTATCCTGCTGAGAATGCGTAAAGTTATTTGAAGCCTTGGCCATAGCCTGCATCAAGGGAAGTGCTATCCGTGTACCTGTACAACTTGAAAGGTTTTCGCTTTCATTTACTGTTCCGATAAACGCAACCAAATTAGCAAGTGGCTTTACAGTTTCTAACAGTTTTATTACCCGTCAGAATAGCAGACATTATTTCAAGTTCAGTATGCGATTCAACTAATATGTATAAATTTAGTGCAAATTCTCGCTTTGATGCCATGGCTCTTCCGTCCACATCTGAAGAATGCCATGTGTACCTAACACTGAGCGATGCCATTTGTTCTCAGACGACAACAGGACTTATTTACGTGTTAGTTCCTTTGGATTGAAAATGTATACAAAGTATCTGTAAAGTACTAAACATGGTGGACTGTACTTTGTGCCATCAGTATAGATTACTGGTCTGTCCGCATAGGGAAACAGTGGCACTCGCTAAGCAAAACAGGCCGTAAATTTAATGGAGGCCAACGCTAGCAGAATTCTGGCTTGCTGTGTGCCATAGTTGAGAAAAGGAGCTTATGTTGAATCGTACTGGTGTTAAAAATTATAAGACTGCATCTTCACCCTATCATAGGTGCCATTTAATCAGGCGTTACCAGTAAATGTTTCTCAGTGTCTTCTTTCGAGCAAAGGTATCGGAATGGAACTAACGTTATAATGTTCTTCGGTTTGCATCCTGTAAAGCTGAAGGACCATATTTCAAAGCCGGTAGACCAAAAGTTTAGTTGAGTTTAAAAACGATTGATGAGCTCTCAACGTACTAGTTCCACGAGACGAGCATAATCTGTTGGTGAGCAACATGTGGCAGATATTGGCTTTTCGTGAAAATATCACAACAAACAAGTGATTGTCGGTGTTTGATTAGTCACGCTAGCAGTCAGTTTCAACTTTTTGAACTACATGTGAAAATATTAATTCTTAACTGTTTTCATAATCACAGGACCCAAATGGCGCTATTCTGGCTTTAAGAAGTAAGTGCTATCGCTGTTACCTTCGCTGAAGGTAAAAGCTTTTTCCGCATGCATGTAAATGCTTTGGCTTCGCTGAACGGAGGAGTATTACCGTAGTCATTTCATTCAATTAAGTTTACATTACAAAAGACCACGCACCCTAAAATGAACTTCACATTAAATGGAAGCGGTGTTTTATTTTGAGTTTTGTCCATTTTCGTTACTACTTACGTCTTGACTTCTAATTCGCAAACTTGTTCCAACTATAGTCTACATTTTCGTCAGGATGGTTCTCTTCAGATATATGCTCTATTATGATGGGCTACCAATGTTAAATTTACACACAAACATTACGGTTTCCCACCTGTTCGGAGGCGTCTGAAATGTTCACTTTGTAACTTATCCAGACGCAATCTAGCTTTTTGATATGCAGCTACCATGGGACGAGAAGGAAAAGCAGACTCCGTTGTACCGTAGTTCAATTACTCATTCACCGGCGGGTAGTCACATCTACTATAGAAGGCCATTTTTGACAGGCACACAATTCTTCCCATTCAACTGCTAAATTTCAATCGAAAGAGGATGTCATGTTTAAACATTGTGCATATCGTCCCACTGAGGATATTGTAGTCTATCTGCTCCACATCCCAAGTCACTCATCAATGTGAATATCAACGTCAAAGAGCCAAATAGACCTACAGGAGAAGAGTGCTTGGAATGCATTGCAATACACATATTTGTTACAGAGCTGAACTAATAAGATTAATAAGAGGTTGCATGGAGACCACGGTTGATCCGAGTCAAGCGGTAAGTAACATGGCCCCGTCCAAAAGACAGCCTAGCCGTTTCATGTGGGTAGGAAATTTTCCATTCGGCCTTTGTATCTTATAACATGAGAGCCGACAGTTATCACCAAGTAAAGAGGAGGAGTTTTCAATCCATGCATGCAGCGAGCGGTGGCTAGTGGGACCAGTTTCTGAACATAATAGAGTCTTGGAGACACATATGGTTAGCGGTATCCTATTCAGAGTCAGGCTATCAACATGCGTCCAATATGCAACCATATCAATTATTAAAACACAGGGTAGCGAAGAGTACTCTTTTCGATAAATCTCATCAGGCGTTTATAATTATAAAATAGAAAGTTGGAGCTGGATAAGCTGGTGAAGCGCGACAAAGGTTAGCGATTCATAGCGAGGCAGAAGGTCAGCTGTCCTAATCGATAAATTGGTCGATCCACTGAAGCTGCGGCTACCACAGTATACGTAGGCGGACAGAGATACCCACATACAGACACACACGCATGCGCACGAGGCATATGACGTGCTTCTCAACTGATTGGGTGACGCACTCATCACCCGGTGGTATGTGGGTAACTATGTCCGCCTACGTATACCGTACGTTTGAGAAGAGTCTTTCGTTTTTGCTCAGTCGCACAGGGGTAGATTGGAGCTCACTAATTTGCCGACCCACCAATGGCATGGAAATCTACTGTATTTACTCACCCACGCATGTCTGGGGGTGTGAATACGACGTGCGGACGCATTGCGGTGCATGTGTCCTTGAAATATGTTAATTACCCTCGTCGATTTTGACACCGGCCAGTTCAGATTGGGTCGATGCCGACGTTTTTGGCTGGTGGTTTGCAACATCTCGACAGCTGTGCATAATGCACTGGCTACCGTGTTCAAATGTTGATGGCGCTTCGACAGTTGCTTAAGGTTATCCCAGCAAATGATAAAAGGGTTAGTGACAACGCTGTTGTAGACTGAATGTTACCTTCATATAAACCACCTTAGCAAAATAAGAATTCGTAACAATTAGACGGTGAAAATATGAGATGCTACTTCTGCATAAATGAGTCCGGAACAATGTCTACCAGCTACTGGAGGCTCATCGGATCTATTTGCAAGTGCGCGGCCGCCTAAGGAGTTAATTCCAGCAGAATACAGAAATAAAAAGAAAGCTGAGTGCAGTGGCTTTTGAACAGATTTTATCAAATCTCATTTTATCCCATCAGCTTGGACAATTAAATCAAAATCAGTTTCGCAATGAACACGAGAAGGAATTTTACAGTATTGGTATGGTAGAAGAATCCTAGAAGTAGATAAAGATGCGTTTAGGTCAAATCTAATCACCCATTTTAGAAAGAAAGGTGATGGAAGAATCCAGCGCGTACGATGCATTTATTTGATGAAACCAGGCTGTTTACGGCTGAATATTCAAGCGTTGTTGGTGTATTACGCATTTTATTGACTTGACTTGAGTTCCCCGCCTTGGCAGACTTGAATGTTTAAATATTCCTTATCGCCCAGATACGTATCCGGCCAATCTGGAAAACCTTAATATGCCATCCTACTAGAAGTTTTGATATTTTAAGTATCCATGGAAACTGTGTAAATAAATCACTGACGATTCACGCTCAACCGTTTGTTCCACGGTCATGACACATTCAGTAGTTGCGAATGACTTAACAAGCGCAAAAGTATTGCCCATTAGTTAATATCTGGTTGCCGGTGGGACTCTCTGGGACTCTTTTAACTTCCGATATAATTCCACTGGATGTACAGCTGAGCGGCTAATCGTACTCCCACAACGACAGAACGACAACAGATCATGGTGACGTGCTGGTATAGATTTGTTTTCCTCTTTCGTTAGACTGCTGCTACCAAAAGAAATGCGGATGTTCTACGTGTGCCCTAAACCTCGATCTACCTGAGTGTTGGCGAAATGTGGGTGGGTGAGATTTACTGTTTTATGTGAAGCTGCCGTTTGCACTAGTTGCAAAATACCCAAGACAAAATGAACCGTAATCGCTTTCAGCTCATACGTGCTTTTGACACGTCAAAGAAATTGACCAGGGGTTCAAATTCCCTACAGGCCTTGTGAACTGGAAGCAGAGAGTGCGGATATGATATCTGAGATTGGGGAAGCCCTACACGTCTGCTGGTGGACTCGCACCAAACCGCAATCAGATCCCTCAGTTTAATGGGGTGTCGTAGGTGAAACTGCAGCCTTCATGAGGGTGGATAACGCATTCTTGAATTGACTTGCATGAGTAACGCACAAGTCGAAATAATCCGCTTTTCATTTCAAGCAAACGACTGTTCCATGTTGGATGAAGAAATCCGGAAGGCGAGGCGCCCGTTAAGAGAAAAATATTCGACACTGATAGCCATATTCTTCAAAGATTTATTTATATGTTGCATACTTTTAAACCTGTTGAAGTACAGTGCAAATTTGGAAAGCCATCTTTTCATGCTGTAAGCTATATTTCCTGGTAGGGGTATAATGAGTTGCTCAGAAGTTAGAAACGTGTACAAGTGTGATATTTTAGAGAGAGCACTAACTACCACCAAATATGATCTATCACGCGCTAGTCTTTAGCAAGCTGCCGCCCAGAGCGTGCTTGTGTTTACATGATCCCATTGCTCACGGTGCATTTTCCTATGATTTCACGAAATTTGTTCCTTGTACAGGATGAAAGTACTAGTAAGTCTTGGAACGAAGGCCTGGAATAGCGCGTTTTATTAACTTGCGTTATATTTGAGCGATGTGACCTGCAGCCATGCTGCGCGGGTATGAACAGAGCTTTATACTCTGTCAGCTACAGCAGTCATTTTTTTCACGAACTTCTCGGTCATTTTGGCTAAAACAGCTTTTAGGATACTCAGTCGGTACTTTCCATCTTGATTCGGTCATCACTCTTCGAAATTGACTTCCAAACCGAGCAATAGCACTTGCTCAATAGTCCGCTGTCGGTTAGCGACTTCTTGGAAAGGTCTGTTACAGAAGTCAAGATGGGGCAGACAAGTAAATGCGAATCGTTAGGTATAGCATGTGAAGCACCGCCAATTATCAATGAATATCCTGCGAGCATCTACTATGCCGTAATTCTTCTGTCAAAAGGGGCAGGGCCTACACAAATCAAACTCTGTACCGCCTCCTAAATATTTGCGAATAAGGAATTGAAGTGCACCACAAGTGCCGACACATGGTCCCTCCTGGAAGTTAGGGACTGTCCGGCTGAACCCTTTAACATTGCTCCGTCATCTGTACTCCTCAAGTGCAGCGTCACTTAATGAATGATCCTCTTGTGGATCGTCTTCAATGTGACTGGGATTTTTGAACACTGGTGCTGTTTCGTGAAATCAGCCATGATTATGACACCACGTAATCGGCGGCAGAACCCATCGGACTGAATTTATTCCTTAGTACACGTCAATGTCTAATCAAATAAAATATACTTGTCAAACCATTTTAGTTTCATTAGTGTAACCATCTGAAAATTGAGGGGTACGGATCTTGCGCACAATCATTTTCCATACTCCTTTAGGATTGCCTATATTGCTTCGATGGGTGAATCTGACGGTAGTGACCAGTCCACTTGATTTGTAGCTCAGGTAAGTTCATGGAAGCCAGTTTACAGTATTCCTAGGATGACTGCTACGGAAGCGAGTGTGACAGCAGCAGCTTTCGCCAAGCTAGGGCCACTGGATGTTCACTAGGTATTACTGGATTCATGCCTCACACTGCATAACAAGTTATTAGCAGCTCGTCAATTTCAAATTCATACATGAGGGATCTGATTGCGGTTTGGTGCGAGTCCACCAGCAGACGTGTAGGGCTTCCCCAATCTCAGATATCAAATCCGCACTCTCTGCTTCCAGTTCACAAGGCCTGTAGGGAATTTGGACCCCTGGTCAATTTCTTTGACGTGTCAAGATGGCTTTCCAAATTTGCACTGTACTTCAACAGGTTTAAAAGTATGCAACATATAAATAAATCTTTGAAGAATATGGCTATCAGTGTCGAATATTTTTCTCTTAACGGGCGCCTCGCCTTCCGGATTTCTTCATCCAACATGGAACAGTCGTTTGCTTGAAATGAAAAGCGGATTATTTCGACTTGTGCGTTACTCATGCAAGTCAATTCAAGAATGCGTTATCCACCCTCATGAAGGCTGCAGTTTCACCTACGACACCCCATTAAACTGAGGGATCTGATTGCGGTTTGGTGCG